CTTAGCTTTGCTTTGCTTAGCTTCGCTTCGCTTCGCATAGCTTCGATTAGCTTTGCATAGCTTCTCTTAGCTTCGCTTTGCTTCTCTTAGCTTTGCTTAGCTTGGCTTCGCTTCGCTTTGCTTCGCTTCGCTTTGCTTTGTTTCGCTTCGCTGCGCTTAGCTTTGCTTCATTTCACTTTGCTTTGCTTCGCTTCGCTTAGCTTCGCTTAGCTTCGCTTCGCTTCCCTTAGCTTCGGTTCGCTTCCCTTAGCTTCGCTTAGCTTGCTTAGCTTCGCTTCGCTTTGCATACCTACGCTTAGCTTCGCTTTGATTCTCTTAGCTTCGCTTCGCTTCTCTATGCTTTTCTTTGCTTCGCTTAGCTTCACTTAGCTTCACTTAGCTTCGCTTCGCTTCTCTTTGCTTCTCTTCACTTCGCTTCCCTTAGCTTCGGTTCGCTTCCCTTAGATTCGCTTAGCTTCGCTTAGCTTTGCTTCGCTTCGCATAGCTGCGCTTAACTTTGCTTTGATTCTTTACGTTTCGCTTCTCTTCGATTTGCTTCTCTTTGCTTCTCTTTGCTTCACTTCGCTTAGCTTTGCTTACCTTCGCTTAGCTTCGCTTCGATTAGCTTCGCTTCGCTTAGCTTCGCTTAGCTTCGCTTAGCTTTGCTTAGCTTCGCTTCGAATCACATAACTTTGCTTAGCTTCACTTCACTTCGCTTAGCTTCGCTTCGCTTCGCTTCGCTTCTCTTGGCTTCGCATAGCTTCAGTTCGCTTTGCTTAGCTTCGCTTCGCTTCTCTTCGCTTCTTTTAGTTTCGCTAAGCTTTGTGTTCGCTTCGCTTAGCTTCGCTTCGCTTCGCTTTGATTAGCTTCACTTAGCTTCGTGTTCGCTTCGCTTAGCTTCTCTTCACTTCGCTTCGCTTAGCTTCGCTTCGCTTCGCTTTGCATCGCTTAGCTTCGCTTAGCTTCATCTTTGCTTCGATTAGCTTTGCTTCGATTAGCTTCGCTTCGCTTCGCTTAGCTTCCTGTTCGCTTTGCTTAGACTCGCTTAGCTTCGCTTCGCTTCGCATAACTTTGCTTAGCTTCACTTCGATTCCCTTAGCTTCGCTTAGCTTCACTTCACTTCGCTTAGCTTCGCTTCGCTTCTCTTAGCTTTGCTTAGCTTCGGTTCGCTTTGCTTAGCTTCGCTTCGCTTCTCTTCGCTTCTTTTAGTTTCGCTTAGCTTTGTGTTCGCTTCGCTTAGCTTCGCTTGGCTTCGCTTCGATTAGCTTCGCTTAGCTTCGTGTTCGCTTCGCTTAGCTTCTCTTCACTTCGCTTCGCTTAGCTTCGCTTCGCTTCGCTTAGCTTCGCAGAGCTTCACCTTCGCTTCGATTAGCTTCGCTTCGATTAGCTTTGCTTCGCTTCGCTTAGCTTCCTGTTCGCTTTGCTTAGCCTCGCTTCGCTTCGCTTAGCTTCGCTTTGCCTCGCTTAGCTTCGCTTAGCTTCTCTTAGCTTCGCTTCCCTTTGCTTAGCTTCGCCTAGCTTCGCTTAGCTTTACTTCGCTTCGCCTTGCTAAGCTTTGCTTCGTTTCACTTTGCTTCGCTTAGATTCGCTTAGCTTCGCTTCGCTTCGCTTAGCTTCGCTTAGCTTCGCCTAGCTTCACTTCGCTTCGCCTAGCTTCGCTTAGCTTCGCTTCACTTCCCTTAGCTTCGGTTCGCTTCCCTTAGCTTTGCTTCGCTTCGCTAAGCTTAGCTAAGCTTAGCAAAGCTTTGCTTTGTTTCACTTTGCATCGCTTAGCTTCGCTTAGTTTCGCTTAGCTTCGCTTCGCTTATCTTCGCTTTGATTCGCTTAGCTTCGCTTCGCTTCGCTTAGCTTAGCCTAGCTTCGCTTAGCTTTGCTTTGCTTCGCTTAGCTTCGCCTAGCTTCACTTCGCGTCGCCTAGCTTCGCTTAGCTTCGCTTCGCTTCGCTTCGCTTCCCTTAGCTTCGGTTCGCTTCCCTTAGCTTCGCTTCACTTCGCTTAGCTTCGCTTCGCTTCGCATACCTGTGCTTAGCTTTGCTTTGCTTTTCTTAGCTTCGCTTCTTTTCGCTTCGCTTCTCTATGCTTCTCTTTGCTTCGCTTCGCTTAGCTTCGCTTCCCTTCGCTTTGCTTCGCTTCGCTTCGCTTCTCTTAGCTTCGCTTAGCTACGCTTCGCTTAGCTTCGGTTTGCCTCGCTTCGCTTCTCTTCGCTTCGCTTCGCTTAGCATCGCTTAGCTTCGCTTTGCTTAGCTTCGCTTAGCTTCGCTTCGCTTCGCTTAGCTTCGTTTACCTTCGCTTGGCTTTGCTTCTCTTAGCTTCGCTTAGCTTCGCTTGGCTTCGCTTCGCTTCTCTTCGCTTCCCTTTGCTTAGCATCGCTTAGCTTCGCTTAACTTCGCTTTGCTTTGCTTAGCTTCACTTTGCTTGGCATCGCTTAGCTTCGTTTCGCTTCGCTTCGCTTCGTTTAGCTTCGCTTGGCTTCACTTCGCTTCTCTTCGCTAAGCTTAGCTAAACTTTGCTTCGTTTCACTTTGCTTCGCTTCACTTCGCTTAGCTTTGCTTCGCTTCTCTTAGTTTCGCTTAGCTTTGCTTAGATTTGCTTAGCTTCGCTTAGCTTTGGTTAGCTTCGCTTTGCTTCGCTTAGCTTCGCCTAGCTTCACTTCGCTTCGCCTAGCTTCGCTTGGCTTTGCTTCGCTTCGCCTAGCTTTGCTTGGCTTCGCTTCGCTTCGCCTAGCTTCGCTTGGCTTCGCTTCGCTTCGCCTAGCTTCGCTTGGCTTCGCTTCGCTTAGCTTCGCTTTGCTTCCCTTAGCTTCGCTTCGCTTTGCTAAGCTTTGCTTAGCTTCGCTTCGCTTCGCATACCTGCGCTTAGCTTTGCTTTGCTTTTCTTAGCTTCGCTTCTTTTCGCTTCGCTTATCTATGCTTCTCTTCGCTTCGCTTCGCTTAGCTTTGCTTAGCTTCGCTTCACTTTGCTTAGCTTTGCTTTGCTTCGCTTAGCTTCGCTTTGCTTAGGTTCGCTTGGATTCGCTTCGCTTAGCTTAGATTCGATTTGCTTCGCTTCACTTAGCTTCACTTCGCTTAGCTTAGATTTGCTTCGCTTAGCTTCGCTGTGCTTCTCTTAGCTTCGCTTCTCTTCGCTTCGCTTCACTATGCTTCTCTTCGCTTCGATTCGCTTCGCTTTGCTTCACTTAGCTTTGCTTCGCTTCGCTTCGCTTCTCTTCGCATCGCTTAGCTTCGCTTAGCTTCGCTTCGGTTCGCTTCCCTTAGCTTCACTTAGCTTCGCTTCGCTTCGCATAGCTGCGCGTAGCTTTGCTTTGCTTCTCTTTGCTTCCCTTCTCTTTGCTTCTCTTTGCTTCGCTTAGCTTCACTTTGCTTTGCTTAGCTTCGCTTTACTTCGCTTTGCTTCTCTTAGCTTCGCTTCGCTTAGCTTCGCTTCCCTTCGCTTTGCTTCGCTCGCTTCACCTCGCGGACCGCTTCCTGATTTCTCTTGCGGGTCGCTTCCCTCTTTCCCACGTTGTAACGTGTTACCCGCTTTTTCGCGCGCCGCAATCCCCTGCCTTCTCATTGAATGAAAACAGATCAAGGGTCAAGCCGCAGCAGCAGGGAAGAAAGCGAGGCCGCAGGGATGGGGAAGACAACAGATAGTAGCTAGGGGGAGATGCGAGGAGCGAGGGAGAGGGGCACAAGAGCAGTGGAGGGGGGAAGGCGTGAGAGCAGGGAGGGAGTGAGGCATGAGTGCAAGGAGGGAGTGAGGCACGAGAGCAGGGAGGGAGTGAGGCATGAGAGCAGGGAGAGAGTGAGGCATGAGAGCAGGCGTGAGTGCAGGGGAGGGGGAGAGGCGTAAGAGTAGGGGAGGGGGAGAGATGGGAGAGCATTGAGGTATGAGGTGCGTGATAAGGGGGGATGTGGGAAGGCGCAAGAGCCGTGGAGGGAGCGAGAGGTGAGAGAAGGGAAGGGAAAGAGGGGTACGAGTAGGAGAGTGGGGAAAGGGAGAGTGCAGCCTGGAGGAGATGGGGAGGGGAAGAGGCGTGAGGGCGGGGGAGGAAGAGGCGTGGGGGGCATGGGAGGGGGAGAGGGTGTTAGGGTAGGGGAGGGGGAGTGGCATGAGTGCAGGAGAGTGGGGAAAGATGGAGTGCAGAGAGGGTAGGGGGGTAGGAGTGAGAGCAGGAGTGGGAGAGGCGTGAGGGCGTGAGAGGCAGGGACAGCTGGAGGAGATGGGGAGGGAAAGAGGCATGAGGAGAGGGGAGGCAGATAGGCATGAGGGCAGTGGAGAGGGAGATGCATGAGGGCAGGGGAGGCGGAGAGGCATGAGGACAGAGGAGGGGGAGTGGCATGAAGCAAGGGAGGGGGAGAGGGCAGTAAGTGTGAGCGGGATCCCGGCAGGACATGTTATAGTCACAATAGGCTCAGATGTGCCTATAATGAGAGATAGAGAGCACAGTCGGATTTCCGTCAGACGGCTTCAAATATTGATAACGATCTGCTGGCTGAGTCAAACTATAATCTGTAAGTTGGATCTGGAGCGCGTTGCTGTCGTCTATCAGCAGCAAGTTGAATCATGAATTTCCATGAAGCTTTGACGACGCTATGGCGGTTTGACTGGCAGGAGGTATAGGAGCCACTATAGTCTTGGAAGTACAAAACTTAGCAAGAAGAGTTCGAGAGGGATGTGGTTCCCAGCCTCTTCATACCCCAAGAGCCGAGGTCCAGGTTGGTGGTACACCACCACAGAGTCCCCAACCATGAAGAGTCTCGAAACCAACCCTCCAAGGGGCTACACCAAGTGAAATGTAACACTACACGAAGTAACGTTACTATTTTCACTATTTAATATTTATCCGCGTCCCTTGGGCTTGAAATCTTGAGCTCTTGTTCTTGGATCTGCAAGATAAATTCTTCTTGAGTTGATGGGGGCTTGCTGCACACACCTGCGACACGATGGACACTTCACACTCGACAAAATAGAAAAAACACATGCGACACACAAACGACGACTTGACATGCGAGTTGTAAAAACTCGCTAATGTCTTGACCGACACAAACCACATTGTGATACACCATTCAAACACACACAAAAGCACTGGATAGCAATGACATAGACTCACAATTCATTCCATGCCATGCATGCACACACACAAACAAGGACGACAAGCCGAGTGCAAGCCATAAGGTTGCACCAACAAACTCCCCCTTGGATTGTTGGCCTTAGAATCTGCTCCCCTTAGTTCAGAGCCATCCCGTCAAGCTTGCAACACTTCCAATGCTGCTGCTCAACCAGCCTCTTGGTCATCATATCAGCAGGCTGCGCCGTCGTCTTCACGTAGTGCAACTCCACTTCACCCGCGGTTACCATGCTCCTCACCCAATGCCACTTCACCTTCATGTGCTTGGTAAGGCCATGAAGAACGGGGTTCTTAGCCAATGCAATAGCACCCTGGCTATCACAGTAGAGTGGGGTAGGTCCTTGCTGCTCCTCCCCCAATTCAGCTAGCAAACGCCGCTGCCACACAACCTCTCTTATGGCACGGAAGAGTGCCATGTACTCGGACTCCACCGAGCTCAATGCTTGGTCCACTTGTTTCTTGCTCTCCCAAGCTGTTGGGCCTCCACCAACACAGCAGATGAAGCCTCCCACACTTGTCATGTCCTCTGGTTCTGATGCCCAAGATGCATCAGAGAAGGCGGTGAGAAAGAGCCTCCCGGGTTCGACTCCATCCGCACCCTTTTGACGCCTTTGTGCCGCCGCGGAGTATTGCAGTCCAACAGTTGCTGTTTGGCCAAGGTACTTGGCCACCCTCTCTCCAGCTGCTACCTGCTCCTCATTAGGGCATTGGACAACCCTAGCCAGCTGCCCGGTAGCAAAGGCTGCATCCGGCCTTGTGTGAACGGCCGCATACATGAGGCTGCCCACCAAGGAGTGAAAACGCCGCCTCTCCTCTTCACCAACACTTTCCTCCGCTGGTCCTTTCACACACTTGAACCCCGAGGGTAGAGGAGTAGCCACATGACCTTCACTCTTCCCAAAGTTTGCAGCCAAAGCCTCCAAGTACTTCTTTTGATGCACTCGCATCCACCGCTTCTCCACATCTCGCTCAATGTGAAGCCCAAGGTAGTAGTTGACGTCACCAAGGGTCTTGCACTTGAACTTGTCTTGAAGCTTCAGCATCACCTCCTTCACAAGGTCAGAGGAGGGTGAGAAAATGAGGATGTCATCCACATAAACCACCATGAAGCTCCTCTGCTCCCCCTCGCCAAGCATGAACAAGGATTGATCGGCCGTTGAGGGAGTGAAGCCGATCGCCTCCAAGACTTCCCGCAGCTTGATGTACCATTACCTAGGGGCTTGCTTGAGGCCATAGAGTGCTTTCTTCAGCTTCCACACTCTGCCACTCCCATCATTGTACCCCTCTGGCTGCTCCATGTAGGTCTCTTCCTCCAAAACGCCGTTGAGGAAGGCCGTTACAATGTCCATTTGCTTCACCACCCATCCTTTGATGGCCGCCGCGGCGAAGAGAGTTCGAAGGGTTGTACCCTTCACCACAGGAGCATACACTTCATTGTAGTCCTTCTTCTCCTGCTGCTGGTACCCCTTGGCTACAAGTCTGCTCTTGTAGCGCTCAATGTTGCCGTCGGCGTCGGTCTTGCGCTTGAAGAGCCACTTGGAAGAAATCGCCTTACGCCCCGGAGGTAGGTTCACCAAGTCAAACGTGTCGTTCTCGATGATGCTCCCCATTTCTTCATCTGAGGCCTTCTTCCACTCCTTCCCATTGGGGCCCTCCCAAGCCTCCTTGGGATTTGTAGGCTCCCCCGGCATCTCCACCGGAGAGAAGAAGGCAAAGGCGCACTCCTCGCTTTCATCTTCCGCATCATCACCTAGCATGAGAGCCGAACCGGTCAAGGTTGAGTTGGCTGGTCCTCCAAGCCGTTCATAGCTCAACCTATTGGGGGGCTGAGTCCTCCTTCTCCCCCTTCCTTCCTCCTCTGCTGCAGGGACTTGAATGCTCTCATGGCTTTGCGGTAAGTCCGGTCGGTTCCCGCGAGCACTTGTAGCACGAGGCGGAAGTGGCGGTGCACGCTCATTACCTTGCTGCACCTCCTCCTCCTCCTCATCCCCATTCATTTGGGGAGATTGCCTCGTGATTGTGCTGCTGCTACTCAGCTCCAAGGGCAGCTCCACATGCTCCAAGCCGGTCCTCTTCACCTCTCCAAGCCGCACACCAATATTCGCTTGGTTCTCCGCCTTCCACTCCTTGTACGGTAAGTTCTCCATGAACTTGCAATCTCTACTCACCAGGAACTTCTTGGTAAATGGGTCCCATAGAAGCCATCCCTTGCTGTTTTGAGCCATGCCCAGGTGCACGGCCCATGTTGCCTTGGCATCAAGCTTGTTGTGCCGAAGTTTCTTAGGCACAAGTGCCATGCACATGCACCCGAACACCCGAAGCATATCCACCTTCGGCTTCCTTCCAATCCACTCCACATAGGGCACCCATTTGTCTTCTCCCACATGAGTCAAGGCTCTGTTCTTGGCCACACAAGCATGCCGCACCGCATCCGGCCAAAAGTAATTGGGTAGACCGGCTTCAATGAGAAGTCCCCGAGCCGTCTCCGTGAGTGTCCGATTCGCACTCTCGGCGATGCCGTTCATTGCAGGAGAGTAGGGCATGGTAAGAGAGTGCCTTATGCCCTGCTTCTTCAGCCAAGTTGAGAAATCCTTGCTCAGGAACTCTCCCCCACGGTCAGTGCGAATCGCCTTCACAAGTCGGTCTTGTTGCCGCTCCACCATCGGCAACCAATCGGTCTTCACCGTTTCAGCTACGTCACTCTTCTTGGGCAGTACATACACCCAAGTCATGCGAGTGTAGACGTCCACAATGGTGAGGAAGTACTCTGCTCCAGCAGCTCCAAGCTTCAAGGGGCCCACCACATCCATCACCACCTCATCAAGTGGTGCCTTCGCCGTTGTCTCCGAGCTATGGAACGGGTAGCGGGTGAACTTGGCTTGCATGCATGTTGGACAGCCAAGCACCTCATTGGGCTCCCCCTTGACACGTATCCCACTGACCATCTCTTGCTTAACAATCTGCTGCAAAATGGGCAATGCCACATGCCCCATTCGCCGATGCAAGGTCAGCCAATCACACTCTCCCGTAGCGGAAGTCGGGTTGGAGAAAGCGGCACTCGCAATTGTGCCCCACAAGCTCTCTCCTTTCTCCTTCGCCGCTGCTGCTTTGTTGATCTTAGCCTTCTCCTCCTCATTTCCACCACCTTTGGCTGCTGCACCATTCTCCTTGGGTTCACACGCCTTGCTGGTCTCTCCAAGGTTGCACTCCTTCGAGTCACTCTTGGTGTCACTTTGCTTTCCGTGATCACCGCCACCAACCGCTTCACGCTTGGTGCTGACGCTTGCTGCCACTTGCCTCTCTTTAGGCATGGGGACCACTGGGATTTGCCACATCTCATTGTAGATGTCCCTGTCCCCATGAAGGTCCCAAAGCTTCCGCTCACCAAGCCTTGCGGTATAGGTTTTGGATCCCTTGGAAGATGTGTCCATGCCGGCCTTTTGCAAACGCCGAACGGAAATCAGGTTGGCTGCTAGGTTGGGCACCAAAAGCACGTTCTTGAGGCCCACCATCTTCCCATCAGCACCCTTGAACATGGCCTTGCCCATGCCCTTCACCTCTGCTCGCTGCCCCAAAGCCGATGTAACATGCTTGACCGGCGACGGTTCGAGTTCGGTGAGCAAGTCCGCACGAGGTGTCATGCTGTAGGTGGCGCCGCTATCGATCACCCAAAAGTCCAGAGAGTGAAGGGTGACCTTTCCCACAGTAGCTGGCTCCTCAAAGCCTTCCACACCTCCTGCTGCAGCTGTCGCTTGCGTGGAGACAAAGAAGAATTGGCCCGGGTATCGATCTTCACTCGAGTCCTTGTCGTAGTCTCCACCTTTCATGCTTGCCGCTTCGCTTCCACGACCACCACGGCCTCCATGACCTCTGCCTCTTCCTCCCCTTGCTCCTCTGCCCTCTTGGCCTTGAGAAGGGGTCCATCCATCAGGCAATCTGAAGCAATCTCTCCACATGTGGCCGGTCTTGTGGCAAAAGTGGCATTCGCCATCAAATCGACCGCGCCCACGCCCGTAGCCATTGTTGTTGTTGTTGCTGCCATATCCTCCATTACCACGGCCTCCATTGAAGTTACTGCTGCCAAATCTTCCTCCTCGCCCTCTGCCCCTTCCACGGCCGTGCCCACGGCCCATGCTTGCAACTCCGGCACCATCGGGACCCGCCAATTCGCGACGGCGGAAATCTTCTTGTAAGATTTCCCGCTTCACATCTTCGAGTGAGAGACGGGGCAGATCTCGATTAAGGTTGATGATGAGCGAGGACCATGAGTCCGGAAGTAAGGCCAACAGCTTGGTCTTCTTTTGAAGGTCACTGTAGTTCAGGTCAGCTCCTTCGAGCCGTGTCAACAAGTCGAAGAATTTCTGCACTCCTTCCTCCACCGGTTCGCCTTCGTCAATTCGAAGTGCCGCCATTTGCCGCTCCAAAACCACAGCCACCGCCGCTGTTGCAGGAGTGTGTACACCCTTGAGAGCAGCCCATGCCTTTGGTCCCTTTGCTGGTTCACGCTGAAAAGGCTTGATGTGACGGATTTGGCTGCTCCCCAACGCTTGCCCAAGTAGAAGGTAGCCTTGTGCGCTCTTCCGCACCCACGGGCTCTTCTCCGGGTCGTTCTCGGGGCGCTTCTCCGTTCCTTCCATCACCTCTAGCAGATCATAGTGGTCAAAGATGTTCTCCATCTTGAAGGACCACTCAGCAAAGTTGTCACCGTTGAACTTGTCAAGGCCAAACACTCTAGGCTCATCCCTAGAGGGTCCAAGGCTAGGTTGCACCGGAGCAACGGGTGAATCTTGGTGTTGACCTTGTGCTTGGGCGTCTTCTCTGCCTCCAGCACCTCTGCCACCCCCTTCCTCAGGTCTAGGCATGGTCGAGACGGCTCCAAGGGGCTCTGATACCACTTGTTATAGTCACAATAGGCTCAGATGTGCCTATAATGAGAGATAGAGAGCACAGTCGGATTTCCGTCAGACGGCTTCAAATATTGATAACGATCTGCTGGCTGAGTCAAACTATGATCTGTAAGTTGGATCTGGAGCGCGTTGCTGTCGTCTATCAGCAGCAAGTTGAATCATGAATTTCCATGAAGCTTTGACGACGCTATGGCGGTTTGACTGGCAGGAGGAATAGGAGCCACTATAGTCTTGGAAGTACAAAACTTAGCAAGAAGAGTTCGAGAGGGATGTGGTTCCCAGCCTCTTCATACCCCAAGAGCCGAGGTCCAGGTTGGTGGTACACCACCACAGAGTCCCCAACCATGAAGAGTCTCGAAACCAACCCTCCAAGGGGCTACACCAAGTGAAATGTAACACTACACGAAGTAACGTTACTATTTTCACTATTTAATATTTATCCGCGTCCCTTGGGCTTGAAATCTTGAGCTCTTGTTCTTGGATCTGCAAGATAAATTCTTCTTGAGTTGATGGGGGCTTGCTGCACACACCTGCAACACGATGGACACTTCACACTCGACAAAATAGAAAAAACACATGCGACACACAAACGACGACTTGACATGCGAGTTGTAAAAACTCGCTAATGTCTTGACCGACACAAACCACATTGTGATACACCATTCAAACACACACAAAAGCACTGGATAGCAATGACATAGACTCACAATTCATTCCATGCCATGCATGCACACACACAAACAAGGACGACAAGCCGAGTGCAAGCCATAAGGTTGCACCAACAGGACAGGCAGAAAACACTCTATAACTAACCCCTCTCAACCCCCCGCCCCCCCACTAACGTATGCCCCCATCTCTTTCTCCCCCCCTCCCCCCCTTCCCTCCCCCCTCCCCTCCTCCCCACTCTCTCGCAGCCTACCGGGTGGCACATGATTGCCAGTCAAGCTCACCTTGGACAACCTCTCCGTTAAAAGCCAGACTTCACCCCAAACCTATCCACTCACTCCCCGTGCATCTCTCAACAAACCACATTCTGTGGGTGATCTCCGTGCGGCCACGCATTCAGACATTCAGTCGTTATTGGCAAATGCTAACCATGTTTCTTCTCTAGCATCATCTACGACGGCTGCAGAAAATGGAAATTATGTAACCCTACATATATGAACGACACCTTGCAACTGAGTTGGTCCAGGGTTGTAAAGCCAAATTGAATTTTGGGGTCGC